TTATTACTTATTATGTACTCGTGGCCTAGACGCATGCGATATTATAGTTCACTACGTATACACCTACAGAACGTCGGCGGCGTCGCTGTCAACATCATTCGCCAACTGGTGGCAACAGACATGCGTGAACAAGACGAGTTTTCGTCAAGCTAGTGGGAATAGAGAATAATATTATTCTTATTTTTATCATATTTATTGTAGATGGTAAAATCTATTTTGGGTAAACCCAATATTCCGATACGGCYGTGCTGTTGATAAAAACATGTTCACAACTTCCATTGTCCATACTCCATTCTAATATTTTCTACTAATCATTTTACTTATACCGTTATACTGCAGATTCTGTGCTTATACTTTAAATGTGTATGAATATTAAATAATTAATTTATAATAATTAATAATAAATAATCTAAAACCGTGTTTTTAATTTTATTATTATACAAACTACAAGACAAACACAATATTGGATTTTGATTTTCGTCGATCAACTCAAAGTGAGTAGATAATAATTATTAATTAGGTAATAATATATTAGGTATAGGTATTGTCATTATTATTTATTATTAATAAATTAATATAATTTAAGGGAAAGTTGATGCATTTAAAAAATATTGAACAGATTTTATTAATTATCTTTGCAATACAATATGTTAATAATAATATATACCATAAAACTGCATCACGATTAGATAATATTTTAATTTTAAATCATTGTTGATCAAGTCATTATTGTTTAAAAACTTTAAATAATAGGTAAACACTAAATTCCAAATGGTATATTGTTATAACTTTAAGAATTTAATACATATTATAGTTATCCAGTTACCAATTACTGAAATAGTGAAATGAAAAATAATTTTACTTTTTACTCTTTACTCAAATAAATTACAATATTTAGGTAGATATAWATGGGGAATAATTTAATTATTGAATTAAAATAAAAAAATTTGGAGAGGCTAAATTTAATATTATACGGGTTTTATACTGTACTAAACTGCAAAGAACATTTAATTATTAAAAATTGATCACTAAAATATTCTTTAGTTTTTGAGAAAAAATCAAATTACAACAAAGCACAAACTACAAATCAATGGTAGGTATATACTAAATAGCAAAATATTAGTTAATTTTTAAAACTCACTGTATCTATATTACCTACTTTTAATTTTAATAAAATAATATTATTTTATTTTTCTAAAGTTAAGTCTATAACAAGCTATAAAAGTTAATGAATGTTAAAAACTTAAAAGTTAAAACTAATAATTGTATAATAACAATAACTAATTATTTAATCATTAAAATTTAGAATAGATACTTATAATACTCAAAACTCATGTTTTAGAATGACTAATATACCTAATGCGTTTGATCGCTTGATGAAAACCAGGGCCAGTACCAGTAACACTGATGGAGAAAATGAAGATATTAATAATCCTGATGACAGAAGTTTTGTTGAAGAAAATTCATCTATGAGCCATGGTCAAGAAGGAACACCATATTTCCACCAAAATGTGCTTTATAATTATAATTATTTTATAAAATTTAGTCCGGATACATCCAAGTGTGTTACTTGTAATAAAGTCTTACAAACTTCTAAATCCACTACTACAACATTAAAAAGGCACCTTAAAACACATTCAAAACAATTTTTAATGTACCAAAAATCTGTATCAGAAAAATTGTTAAAAAAAAAAAGAAACAGAAGCTATAAAAAGAAAAATTGAAGAAACACAACTCAATATTGAAAATGCATTTAAGAAAAAATCATTTTTTCCGCCAAATAGCCCTAATGCTTCTAAAATTACAAAAAAAATTGCAGAAATGATTGCCATAGACTATCAGCCATATTCAATAGTGGAAGATCGTGGATTTAAAAATTTGATGGAAACTATTGAATGCAGATACCAACTTCCTACAAGAAAATATTTGTCTACAAAAGCGATCCCTCRGCTTTATTTAAATCAAGTATCCAAACTTAAAACAGAAATTGATACAGATTTAATTGATGTTCAATCAATATCGTTTACCTTTGATATTTGGACGAGTTTATCTCAGCTGTCTTATATGTCACTCACCATGCATTATCTCACCAATCATTTTGAGCTGAAAAACAAAACTTTGGGCTGTAAATATTTCCCAGGAGAACATACTGGACAAACAATATTTCTAAAAATTAAAAATATGGTTTCAGATTGGGRCATAGATATTGAAAACTTTAATATTCCAATCTACATTTTGACTGATAATGCTAGAAATATTGGCAGTGGATTTACATACTTGTGTATGAAAATCAACATTTGCATCATATTCTGTGTATAGCACACACATTGCAGTTAGCAATTAATGATGCTGTAAAAGAAAATAATATGGRAGATGTTTTGAAGAAATGTCGTTCTTTGGTCTCACATTATAACCACAGTGCTAAATCATATGAAYGATTAAATGACATCCAAACAAGATTAAATTTACCTCAGCATAAACTTATTCAATCCATTTATATTAGATGGAACAGTATATATTTAATGCTTGAGCGTATACTCGAACAGAAAAATGCAATAACATTAGATTTACAAAATATAAAAAAAAATGGCTTTGTACCTAGAGATTGGAAATTAATTGAAGGTTATGTATAAGTGCTAAAACCCATTTTTGAAGCCACCAAGGAACTATGTCAAGAAAACATTCCTACTTTATCTATGGTCAATCCAATCTTATGTACTATAGAAACCAAATTAAAAAATTTCATTTCCAAAAATAAAGATTTAATCAGTGGAATATCATTTGCAAAAAGTGTTCACAAATCAATTAATACTAGATTTCAAATATGTAAAACTAATACAGAATACTGTATACATATTAGCTACAATTATTGACCCGAGATTCAAAATTGTTATGTTGGAACCACATGAAGTAGATACAGCAAAAGATATGTTAAAAGTAGAAGTTGAAACCCTTAGCACACCACCACCCGATACTGTATGTTACAAATGAAACAACAGAACATACATTAGAGTCAAGCAAATCTTCATTGTGGGATATTCTAAATGAACRATCAGCCACTATACAACATATGGAGGGCCAGATAGATTATTTTTTGAGAGAGGTGAGTTTAATTATTAATTTTTGTGATAACTRACATGAAACTAATTTTAAATTTTAAATATTTTTGTAGATACAGGAGTATTTAAAACTACCACTGATATCTCCAACATCAAATCCTTTAGCTTGGTGGAGCWCTAACCAAACTACATTCCCAAATTTATTACCAGTTGCAATCAAATATCTAGGTATTCCTGCCACGTCAGTTTKCTCTGAACGTATGTTCTCAAAAGCAGTACAAATTGTTACTAAGAGAAGACAGACTTAGTCCAGATTCAGTAGAACAACTAGTTTTTTTACATGACAATATATAATTATTAATTATAAAAATATAAACTAATTATGATATTATAAGTATATTTCTATTTTAAATTT